AAATAACGACTAGTATGAGTGATGGTGATGAGGAACATCATCAGTATTGTTGGCTTGTTTGTCGACACCATTAAGCCGCTCCAGTTAAGGTCGACCTGAAATAGAGAGAGAGAGAGAGAAAAGAGAAAGTATATGTGTGTGGAATATAGAACAAACAAGAAAGAAAGGAATATGCACCGTAAATAGAAAGCCGAAGGAAGAGAAGATGAAAAATGTGAATAATGCGAACAAAATGAGAGATTTTATTCACAATCCTTTTTTTTTGTTCAAAATGCATTATTACCTTGGAGATCAATTGACTTTCAAAGACACTTAACTATCAAGGTTATGTCAATTACTTTAAGCGAATCTTTCTTTTCTTTTTTTTCGTTTTAAATCGAAAACTTTTGAACATTTTAAGAACAGATAAAAATAATATCTTAGATTGAATACAAAAGAATAAAGCCTTATGCAAAAATGGTCGATTCTTTCTTTTTTTCACTTGAAGCAAATGGAAGTAATACTTTACATTCTACTTCAATTTCCACACAAATCTTCCTATCAATCAATAGAAAGATTAAAAAAAAAGAAAACTCTAAATCACTTAACATAATATTTAGTTTTGACATATATGTTTTTCCTGTTAATTTTTCTTTAGACATATATGACTCTATAATTTACACGAAACATTTCCATTTAATATAGTGATTAAAGTTCAAATGTATATGGTTTCAATCTATAACATTGATTGAATTGTCAATGTTATTAACTCTTTACAATATTCAACTATGAAACCATATGTATGTATATGCTTGTAGTTACAGATAAGAAAGCGAAAAATAAATAATACAAGAAAGTTCACTAGACTATTCTAATCACTAGAAATATTTGACATATTCTAAAATAAATAAAACTAAAAAAAAAAAAAAAAGAAAAAAAGCAGAGCCAATTCTTTAAATTAAACTTACAATAACACGAGTATTTTGTATTGAGATAAGGAAAGGAGATATATATATATATGATGTTGGTTACATAGAATAGAAGTCATAAATGATTATTCATATGGAATTTCGTTTTTTTTTTCAAGTGAGCATATCCATTGAGATCAAAAAAAAAAGAGGGAAATCATGGTATTCTGTAATAACAGTTATTTAACTAGAAATTTCGTTCATTTTTTTTTGGTTGGCATTAATATCAATAAAAAAAAGACTACCTAAGCTAAAAAAAAAGAAAAAATGTATTACTAATATAAATAAAACGTATGAGTAAATACTTATAAAAAAAAAGTAATCTTACGTCTTTTTTTTATAGATGTATAATTTTGTTCTCTCTCTCTCTCTCTCTCGCTGTGTCGTTTTTCTTTAGATGAATAATATACAAGTGGGGGTGTCTCAAAATCTAGTGAAAAAGGTGGGCGATCATCTGATGTACGCATAGTTAACATTCCGTACGTATTCCTTTTTTTTTTCTCTTTCTATTTATTGTTCTAGATGAGATATAAAAAGAGAAAGAGAAACATAAATATTCGCGTTCGATTTATCGTTATCTAAGACTAGTAATAACAGTAAAAACAACAACAATAATAGACAGCACATCATCATCCATCATCTCAGCAAGAATAAATGGTAACGACTAAAAGAAGGTAAAGAGGATTAAAAAGAATGGCAGGCAGAGATGTCGACATATAATTCAAAGTGAATGATGTGTCTGCTTACATGTATTTACAAATCTTCTTATTTTTCTTGTTGTTGTTGTTATTGATTTAACCAATATATCTTGAAATTTAATGATTCTTTGTAATAATAACTAGCCGTCGATGTCGTCAATAATAATGATGTGTGATTAAGGAGCATACGCTTGTCGTTATATATATATATATGAGAGACACGATTATTGTTTTTTTTATTCGTATTGCAAAAAAAAGAAACGCATACAAGGCAACGAATGATGCTGCAGTCGAAATAAAAAAAAGCGACAGTATGGTAAAGACATTACCATCAAGGGACAACGCTTGATTGCAAGAAAAAAGAAGAAACAACAAAAAAAAGAAAAATAGTCAAGCTATGTACACAGGTGTTATTGTAAACAGACAAATACTTGAATTATAAATAGAAATAATTATTAATGAAGTTTTGCCTTCAAGAAGTACTCATAAAAAGACATATTCGTTTGATTTTATTTCTCCTTGTCTACTCATATAAGGTCACATAAATATTGAACATAAAAAAACATTCCTTCACACTAAAAAAAAAAAAAAAAGAACTTTGATTAATGAAAACTTACGATTGATTAAAAAGAAGAACAAGTTCGATCGATGTACACATGCAAGCAAATACCACTGTCACAATTTTGACTGACTATGAGTGTCATAAAACCAATGAAAGAAAGAAAAAAAGGCAATGACTGTAATTTCATAGTTAAGATTTATCAGTTTTGATCAATAAAACAAAAACGAAAATGACTAGCAGAATGTCTAGTCGCTGTCAAAAAAAAAAATAAATAAATAATAACATAACTATAGTGCCGACCATGAAAAAACAGCAGGAGAGACAAAATATAAATGGTATGAGAGTTTGCTTTCTCTCTCTCTCTCACCTTTTCTCTTCTTTAATTACGAAATATTCGTAATTTTCTTTTTTTTTGCAGAATACTCGATCTTTGAGATCAGTTGCTGCGTATTTTATTTCCAAAGTATATTTAAAAATGAAAGAAAAATCTTGAAATTTGATCAGACTTGGATCAGATTTGTGTTTATCCTCGTCAAACAAGCATCTCTCTTTTTTTCTTTTACACTTCCATTAAAGTAGACACACTCGTTTTACTTATGTACAAAAATGAATATCTCTTATAAACAAAAAACAATAATAAAAAATATCGAAATAAAAAATGAAGAATTAGTTTATTTTTATTTTTTTGTAGCGACAATGATTGCGAGAAAACTTCGAAGAACACAAAGATTCTCTCACCCATTAAAGCTTGTCTATTTTACTTTTCTTCCCATAGACGACTATTTCTATTACGGATAATAATATCAAATCAGAAGCAGTGCTTTTGGGAAGATTCGAACAAGGTCACTATCAATGAATAGAACAGTTCGACTAGAAATTTTGTTTTCAACAACGAATTACTATTCAATGTTTTTGTTCTATTTATTTCTACGTATGTTACACATGCATGCATCATCAAAAAGAATAAACACGAACAACTGCTGATGCCAATGTGAAGTGTTACTATTTCACTTACCCATATTAAAACAAATCAAACTTTTTTTTTCAATATAATCATGTGCTTGTAAAAGAACATAGAACAGATAAATAAACTATTCAAATTTCTTTTCTTTTCTTTTTTTTTGTACTTCAAAACAAGGTTTTCATAACGTCATAATTTGTTTTTCGTTTCATTCGATTATATATGTAGATAGAAGTGCGCGCGTGCTTACTTGTCTATGTGTATCTTTTTTTCTATCTAATATGAAGGGCAAGGACGTGTTATGCTACTGACATAGCGAGACAAAATATATTATTTTGTATTTTTTACACACAAAAAGAAAAGAAGATCAAAGTTTGAAGTATTTAGCACTCACCTTTTAGTTCTATTAAATGAATAAAGAACTCTTAAATGTAAAACGTTTTCTAAGGAAACAGCTGTGTGTAATCATTAACGTTCTTATCTTTTACATACTTATATATATACGTCCATATTCTACTCCAATAAAAAAAAAACAAACACAGATAGCTAGTGTAGTCGTCTTGCTCAAGTACACATATTGCTCTATTATTTTTTTTTTCTTTTACATTGTGCATATACATTATTTATCAATGTACGAAACAACTTGTGTCTTGCACATATAACAGTTTTTTATCGACTGTGAAAAATCCATCACTAATGACGATATCGGCATGACCATGATTTGTAATGATAGTCAAAGTAATAATGGTATTGAAAGATGCATACTGTAAAATATGATTCATTAAAGAGAGGTTGATGTCAAAGTCAACATTCTTGTTTCATGGATAGAATACTATCCATCCACAGAACGAATGGATATTAACTAGAAGAATAGAAAAAATCAAGAATTAGGATAGAAAATAAAAATAGATTCGATCTATATTGAAAAAAAAAATGTTCTGATATGTTTTACGAGTAAGATATAATCATAAGAAAAGAAAAACAATAATGTAATAAACATTCTAAAAAAAGATATTTTTCTATGAATTTAAAAAAAAAACAAAATTATTGTTTTCATACTTTATTTTAAATAAATAGCAAGCTTGTAAGAGAATCTACATTTGCGAACAATTAATATTATGTTGATTGTTTTGAAATAACCGTACTTTTATAACTCAAGGACATTCATCATCCCTTAAGGGCAAATCATCTATTCAATCATATCCTTTTTGTAGTAAAAGTTACCTTTTATGAAAAAAAAACAAATCAATTCATTGCTTATTCACCATTCAATATTGTCAATTATGAAACGAAAAACGAAATATCTCTATAAATAGAATTGGTTGGATTAATTTTGCATATTTATATTGCCTTTTATATATATATATAATAATGAGTTATAGATTGATAACCTTGATTCATTTGATTCACCTATTTGAATAAAAATACTTTCGATTCAATTATATTATATCCACTTGAAAATGAAGTATCTTTAGAATCTTCACTTGACTCTTCATCACTCTTTTCTTCATATCTATCATTATCAGCTGATTTATCGTTGTTTACCTTGAGGTTGATTCTTATCATCGGATACATCCTTATGTTGCTTCAATCCTTTATCACTAATCAATTTATCTTATTTTTTTTATTAGGCTGTTTGTCATTTATTGATTTAGTTATTTCATTATTAATTGATTGATTTTTTTTTCCTTTATTCGATGATATTTTGATATATATATCTAGAGATTCATTTATAACTAGATATAGTACATTTAAAAAGAAAATATATAAGCCTATCATTCTCATCTATGAAACATTTACAAAACAGAAACAGTAAATAAATAAACATTTTTTCACATCAATGTATTTTCATTAACATTATCACCAAATTTAGCCTATATAGATGAAAAGATAACGATTTAAAATAAAATAAAATAAAGTCTAAATATCTATTACCTTAGTATTGTGTAAAGCGACTTTTTTAGTTGTTGAGTGATATCGTATTAACATATGATCAGGCAATTGCTAGAATAATATAAACATTATATCAAAATTGATCGTACGATTTCATATAAAAATATACATAAATTTCTTAATGAAATATTGCATATCCGACGATTTTGAAAAGAAAAGTTTTAATGAAATTTTACTTGATTTTATCGTTACAATATATTTGAAGTGGATTTCCTGTTGATAATCGCAAAATGTTCAATATTTCTTTGCGAAATTTATATATATTTTTATAGAAGAGCCTTTTTTATCTAACATAGCCAGTTTAGAACGGAAAGAGGTGATGTTTTTGATGCAAATCAACTATAAAACTTCAGCTAGATTACATCAAAAACTCGTATCTCAGTACTTCAAACTGCTCTTGAGATATTAGAAAAACAGGACCATCTATTATGTTTATGATCAATTTTGAGTGTCATTATATATTAATTTACTTACTAATTTGATTTTTGGTAGAGAATGAATTCGATTTTCATCAGTCTTTTTTGTTGTCTTCTTCTTTTGTTTCTCTTCTATTGGTGGTATATTTTCAATTGGAATGATATTCTTTCGAATTCTTGAACCTCGACGAACAGTATCTGGTTTTATGTTCCTTGAAATATCAACAAAAAAAGTTATATGAAGAAAAACTAATAAAAATTTACTTTTTTACAGCTCGTCGTTCGTTTGACCTGACATTTTCGATGTCAGTATTACTAGTTATTTCTTTAATTTCATCACGAATCTAAAAATAACAATTTAAAAATAAATTACATTGTCAATAATTTTATTCGACAAAAAAACAAGTCTAATGATAGCCAGTTATTGCTTTCTTGATGCATACTCGAACATCTGTTCTACTTTTTCCTTATATATCACAATAAAAAAAAAAAATTACAATAAGTCTATAGACACAAAAAAATCAGTAAGGACAAACGAGAGAACATTCCCGACTGTCACATCGTTTTTAAGTCAAGTGTATGCGCATCATATAGACCCCAATGATCTATGAATACTCTGAAAAAAGTTCGTGCCGCTAGCTTATTAACTACCGAGATATTGCATTTTTACTGTATGTGTAAGCAAAAAGTCGTGTTTCCCCTCAGGAACACTAGGAAAACTGAGTTTCGAATTTCAACTTGAACCTTTGTACAGGAACAAGTCTCAATGAGAATAGTTTATTGTGGAAGTTTCAGATCTTTTGATTGCTCCTAGTCTGAAATAATAACATCGAAAGCTGCTGGTATGTATAAGCTATTTTCTCATAGCTGTATCTTAGGATAGGAACAACGAAAAGATCTAAAACTTTCACAATAAACTATTCTCATTGAGACCTATCTCTATGCCAAGTTTCAAGTCGAAATTCGAAACTTAGTTTTTCTAATGTTCCTGAGGGGGACCACGACTTTTTTTTTCTTAAACATACAGTAAAAATGCAATATCTCGGCAGTAATAAGCTAGGGGCATGAACTTTTTTCAGAGTATTTATAGATTATTAGGGCCTACATGACGTGCATACACTCGACTCAAAAGCGATGTGACAGTTGAGAATGTTCCCTCGTAAGTTTTTCAAATATGGAAGTATTTAATAATTTTTATTTATTTTAAATTTAAATATTAATTTTATTGCGTCACTTACATCATTAATTTTCAGTGCAGCAAGAAAACGACGATTATCTTCAATATTTTTCTGACGTTTTGCTTCGATACTTTGATACTTTAATAGAAATCAAAATTTAACAAAAATAAAAAATAAAAACAAAAATTTTAAAACTTACGAAACATTCATTATTATTATTAACAAAAGAAGAAGACATTATGCATTTACAATTCGAAAAATGAAACACAATATAATCGATAATCTTAACAAAATTTATATTATCCAATACAATAGATCGCAAACATACTTCGATAGCCTCTATTAAACTATCATCGAAAGGGCGACATTAACCAATAAGAAAAAGTTATTAATTGTATTCAATTTTCTTTGCTTGTAATAATAATATATTTGAAAATTTCACAATAATGTCGTCAAATTCATCTTCAAATCCAACATTTACAAATCGGTAATTAGATTTTATTTTATCTTTCAAAATTTAATTTGTCTATTTTTACTTAGACTTCGACGTGAATGTCTCGATCTTCAACAAAATCCAGTACCATTTACTTGGTATAATAAAAATTGATTGTTCTTTTTAATTTTGTTTTTTTTTTTGTTATTTTTCATAGTGCTGGTCCGACAGCTGATAGTCTTAAACAATGGCTTGTAGTTTTCGAAGGCATGCCTGGTTCTCTTTATGAAGGTGGTACTTTTTTTGCTTTACTTACTTTTGATGATGATTATCCATTTACACCACCTACAGTAAGAAATTTTTTTTTTATTTGTTAATCATTTATTTTATTTTAGCTTGAATTTAAAACACGAATTTATCATTGTAATATTTATCAAAGTACAGGATTAGTTAAACATGATATATTCGATAAAAATTGGTCACCAACGGTAACTATTCGACAAATTATTCAAAAAGTAGCAAATTTACTTGTTCAATGTGAACCTGGTTAGTTGAATTTTTTAGAAAAAATTTATTGATAGTTATACATTCATGTATAAATAATGTTTTCATGAGTCTATTATTGATATCAAGCATTCAGGAATGCTTTATAATAGAATTAGGATATTTTTATTTATCTTTATTGCTCTCTTGATAATAGAATTACAGTGATTAGGGAGTTAGAAAATAGTATATTGCTAAATTATGTTTCAGTAACCATTATGTGTCGTAGCTTTATTACTTTCACTTTATTATACAGAGTGACCCAAGAGTCACCGATTAGTTTTTGAAAAAAATAAGATTAAACAAACTAATGGTGTACCCAGAATTTACGATACTGTTATGATCTGCGATAGTCTACAAACCATAAATCTGTTATACTGCCATCTGTATTGTGAGGGCATAGGTGCTGGTGAAGAGAAGGCCTATCAACACTCTCAAGATTATCATACTCTAAAATACTTTTAGATATTTTTTGATAACGATATAAGAATATATCGTATCAGGGCTTTGAAAATTTCCTTTGTTTTCTTAAAGTCAATCCCATCGTCAAGAGCTTAAAAGACACTAAATAACCTAAGACTTGTTTATATTAGAATAAAGAATTTTCATTTTCAACTGATTCGTTATTTTAAATACTTAGTATCAATGAAATTACAAATTATCAATAAATAAGAAGTACATCTTAGTTTACATTAGATTTATTCTTTTTTTTATTCGTACTTTCATATTTGAAGTTTATCATCATTCATAACAATCCATCACGTTTTTTAGTTTTGTTTTTCTTTCACGAATTTTAAATTCTTTTGTTTATTTAGATCATTGTGCCATGAAAGAACTTGGTTTACAATATAAACATGAACGTAGTGATTATGAGCGAATGGCTCGTTTATGGACAATAAATTTTGCTCGATAAAATTCTTCTGTACAAAGAAAAAGAAAATTAAAAAAATATATTTATTTTTTTAGATGACATCATCATTATCTATATATGATAGTGAACAATATTTATTTGAAATAGCACAAAATTTTATGCGTACACGTATCATATTTACATCAATAGAATTAAAAATATTTGATTTACTTTTATCATATAATGATGGTTTATTATGTTGTGATATAGCTAAACATTTAAATTTACATTATATTGAAAATGAATCAAGATGTCTTCAAGATATACTTGATTGTTTAACATCAATGAATTTTTTAGAACGTAATAATGAAAATTTTTCATATAAATTAACAAAATTTACACGAAATTTTCTTCTTCCTAATCGAAAAATTTTATTAAATATTGATCAAGAATTTTATCTAAATATGCCACAATTCGATAATATTCTTCTTAATAATTCATCAAAAGATTCAATTCATCAATTAATGTTATTACGTATTAAACAATTAATTGATTTAACAAATTATTCGAATATTTCAATTGATTCAATTGATAAAGATGCAGATGTTATTATTATTTGGAGACAAGATGGTTTATTAAAAGAAAAAATTAAACAAGTATATGATATATTACCAATAAATGGAAAAAGTCTTCTTATTTTAATTGTACCTAATGATGAATATGATGAAGTTACATTAGCACTTAATCTTTATATGAATATGATAACAACAATTAAAGAACAAGAAAATCCAAAAGATTTATATTCGAAAAAATGTCTTAAACAAATCGGATTTCGATCAATTGAAAGAAAACAATCAACAGATGGTTTACAACTTTTACTTGCTTATAAATAATTCTGGTGATGGTGATGGTGATTCTTGTTTTTTTTTCAAATTTATAATAGTATTCAAGTGAATTTTGTTCGCTTAAATCGGTTTGGTGTTTGACACTATTTTTTGTATAAACAGGCGTTTTTTAGTTATTAGAAAATAAAGATAATAAATGGTTAGTACAGTCAATAAAAGAAACTAGATGGTATTTGAGTGTTACTCGATTACTAAATGCGGTACGAAGCTTCCACTGTAAATTGACGGATAAATCGATATTTTCTTTAAAAAAAATGAATACTCATTTGTATGATTGATTGTGAAATGTTTGTTTTTTTGCAAAAGATAACAACTATGTGAGATATATTCAGATTTCTGAAAAAGAAAATTATCAACGTTTCGGAAACTTCTCTTTTTGGAAAATTGAACACTGCTGGGTTGGCTACAATTTCTACAATCTTCCATTACAAAGTTAAAGACATCGCAAAAACCATAAAAAATGAAACTTCAAAAAACAAAATTGCTAAAGATCGAAAGTTTTCAAGAGAAGATCGTAGAAAATCCATCGACTTCTTATTTTGTTTAGAATTTTGTGCTCTTTACGATAGCATTGTTAATAAATATCTCCAACAAAGTCTTCTGACACCTGTATACTACCATGTTCGGTTTTTCAGAAACCCTACCATAACAGTTCATCTATGAAATTTTACTATAGAATGTATTAGATAGAAAACCCGATTGCCTATTAAGACCCTTATCTGAATTCGAGCTAGAAACTTAACATGACAGAAAAAGTTAAAAATGCATTGTTATTAAACTATTTTCCATTGCTTTAGTTGATAGAATATACATGTTATCAGACGAATGAGGAAATCCTTTTTGCGATTCAGTGTTTTATCTAGAATAACAAGAGGATGATGAAGACTTCTCCTTCCAAAAATGTTGAAATTTCTGTAGAATATCTTCAATCCCATGGAAATTTCTGATAGGCTATCTTTACTTCTGGCAAAGATTCATATGAAGACACTTTTTGTCAGACAAAATATCTCAGAAAAGCGCAATTGGAAATCATACGCCGGATTTAGGGTCAATGCCTCGGTGAATACATTGGAATAGTTCCTTCGAATAAGAAAATCTGGATAAAACATTGTTCACATGATATCTCAAAATAATCTCTTGCAATGAAAAGAGATATGCAGTAAAATATATCATGATCGGCCCCTTATGTGTCTAAGATCACATCAATCTATATTAATCGTCTAATCAGTGAATGACAATCGTATCAAAAGTCAATCAAAAGATGGATAGCGACTAATAAAATGTTTAAAGTTGACATGTTCATTTTAGATTCATTTTTCGAATAGTAATATTAATTATTTCTATGATCAACATGAACAGTTTTCATTGTTAATGATTAAGGAAATTAATACAACACATTAAACTTTAGTTTCGTTGATTACTAAAGATAGAATCAATTGGTTTTTTTGTCAAATTGAGCTTATTTTTTAAAAAGTTCAAAACCGAACCAAACCAATTTCAATATCTGTTTGTATTATTCTAATTTATTGAATTTTAATCTCTATTCATTCGAAAAGAAAAAAAAAATTTTCTCATATCATATTTTCTTTTTTAGATACAGTCATTGGAGATATCATTTTTTGATAAAAATAACATTCCATATAATTATAATATTCTATCAGCAGATAAATATACAACCTATTTGTTACAAATAATCTTGGTCAAGTTTATTTAAAAAGAGATTGTAATTCAATGAATAATTGAAGAAGAATCTCCAATTGGTACAATAGTTGATAAAATAAAAGATATTTTATTATCTAATAAAATAATTCTTCGCAAGTAATTGATAAAATATATATAAAATTAAATCATACTAATAATGATACACACTTATTTGTTCTCAATTCTCAAACGGATTTATTAAATTTCTTTTATACAGGTACGGATCTGTCGGTATTCTCTTCAACTACGTCCACACACACGCCATTAACTATTGATATTTTATATAATGAATGACCAAAATCCACTATTTAATGAAATCAAACAAATAATAAATTAATTAGAGCATGAACATACACAAATGTCAATTGACAATACATGTCAAATTGATTCTGATTTATATGAAATAACACTTATAAATTGTTTTCTTATGAGAAAGGTATTTGATCTGTTTATCGTCTTTTGAATTCTCTTCCTGATAAATTTATTATAAAATAATTAATTCTACATTGCTACGTTTTGTTGTTCAAAATAATTTCTTCAGACAAAATTACAATAAGTCCACATACAATTTGAAATGATAAATCAATAAAATAAAAATAACGATTACTGGTCTATTGATCCTTTTTCTTAGTTCATGTTGGATAGTGATACAGAAAATAAAATCCATCTAGTCGTTACTATTACCCTCCTCTTTTTCTGTATCACTATGAAACATGAACTAAGAAAAAGAATCAATAGACCAATTATCATTATTTCTATTTAATGTATCATTTCAAATTGCATGTGCACATATTATAATTTTGTTAGCAGAAATTGTTTTCAACAACTAAACGTAACATTGTAAAATTAATTATTTTATAATAAATTTATCAGGAATAGAATTCAAAAGATGATAAACAAATACATATATAGTGCTTTTCAGACTTAAATGTGCATTGGTATCTTTCTAATAGCTTAAAAACAAAAAAAATGATTTAGTTTGTAGCACTATCTGAAGTCGACATTGCTCTATCTTTTCACAAAATCGATGGAAAATTTCAGTCACTTTTCTTCTTGGTTACATCATAAGTTTTAAAGATTATCCAAATCCAGTGTGAAAATAATATGCTTTCTCAACTCTAATATAATGGGTAGATAGCGTAACTTCTTCTCTATCGATCTACGAAAAACCGAGATCGACTACGATTTGCGTTCCAAAAATATAAAGCTTTTACCAAAGATCTTTCACTAATTTTTTTCTTTTTTTACAAAACTTGAGCACCCGACAAATATTTCTATTTACAAGGTTTTAGTCGTCATCAAAAACCATACATAAAATTTATTTTAATTATAATGCATCGATACTTTCAAAAAGTTTTAAATCTCCATTTTATTGGTGCTTTCATCAGAATAATTTTCTGAGTCCAAATTGGTCAATCAAAAATAATTTTAAGATGTTTATGTAAACTAACTATAAAAGTGATTAATCATCAGTCTCATTCGTACTATACGTGCTATAAACATCGTTGTCATGATCATTTAGTTCTTCGTCAATCTTGTCGACATAAAAATATCGGCGTTTTTAAACATTGTTTGACATGATTGGTGTAATCGGTTGCTTTCATCGCACCTAAGTTATAAACTCATTCTCATGGCAATTTGTTCAACTCAGTCAAAGTTAAATTCGTGTTGAAATTACGTATATGTTTTCATATTGATCTAGGCTAACTCTATAGGAACCGATGTAGAGTGTCTCATTAGTAAAGCGATGTGATTGTGATGATGGCTGAAGCAAAAAAAAACCAACGCTCACATCAACACTCACAATCATATCCACACACCAACTTCGAATGTATGATTTCGGATGATGCCTTTAATAGGAAAAATACACTAAAGGTTAATATATTATGTCATGAAGTCGAAGATGACTAAAAACTTATAGACGAAAATATTTGTTACATGCTCAGATCTTGAAAAAAATTAGTGAATGGTCTTTGATAAAATCTTTATGTTTTTGAAACGCAAATCGCAGTCGATCTCGGCCTTTCGTAGATCGATAGCGAAGAAGTTACGATATCTACTCATTATATTAGAGTTGAAAAAGCATATTGTTTTCAAAGTGGATTAAGATGATCTCCAAAATTCCTGATGTATCCAAGAAGAAAAGTGATTAGCACTTTTTATCGATTTTGTAAAGAGATAGAGCAATGTTGACTCTAGATAGTGGCAAAACCCAACTTATTTTTCTCTTTTTATTTTTAAACTATTCAAAAAATGCCTATGACCATTTAATTCTGAAATGAACTCTAAATATATCACAATTACACATAGAAACAGCTCGCTGTCAAAATTCATTGACTGATCGAACCTTTTTATAGCAGTGGACAGAGAATTAAACTTCACTTAGATACAAGTGTTTGTTATCATCAAAAATTATTTCAAATATTCTCATTGTGGTGAGTATCTAAAAGAGTTTACTCTGAACGAAAACAATAAATCTGACCGGCAATGTTTTTCTACCAAAAATGCTCGGAGACCTCCGATTAACTATGTCGATACGAAAAGCTTTTTTAATGAAAATAGCTCAATTATAGATGAGTAGATTTCGTTTTCCATCTTAGTAACAAATCCAATGTTATTCTGAGACAATTTTTACAAATGAATTCGTGAGTGTTCAATTCGATAGTGATCGAAAGTAAGAGCTCAAAAATTAGCCAAACTTATCGTGGAAACTCTACTACAATAAAACATCTCTGCAATTTATGAATGTTAGAAAAATTTATTTTCAAAAATTCATTGATTCATGTGACTAAATAAAAATGATGATGAAACAAAAAATCGAAAAGTAAATGTTCATTGTAGCAAATTCTTTAAAAAGAATCGGCGTTCACTATGACATATTTTTAAATCCAGCTCCATGTAATTCTTGCACGACCAATGCCAAGATCTCCAATTGCGACTCTGAAAGCAGCTTCTGATAAATCAAGATCACCATATTTACATCCAGGGCATTTATCAACAATTTTTACTGTGACAGTTCCTTTGGGACCAGTTACCTTGGCTAACTTGTTACATAAGCTGTTCAAATTTGGATTACCATTAGGTGTATTTGGATCAAATTGTGGTGCATTCAATGCAGCGACATATTCATTATCACTGTGCTTTGTTCCACATGCCGTAAAGCCAGCACTAACACTATAGTGTGTAGCATCTCCTTGAAAAGTGCCACCTAAATAAGAAACAAACATGTCAAAACTATATTGAACAACTAGAAAAATGATTCGTGATTTCTAAGAGTTACTTCTGTCTCGAATAACCACACTCTCTACACCTAGTGATCTAGAAGAAAGTGATCACTTCATCTTCTCTTCCTTTGAACAAAGAAACCTACCATTACTACTGGCTTACGAATAGTGCAGTATGTTCCTCATATCATCTGTCTTTCTGGCAATCTCTGAACAAAAAATGGAGTCATTCGACAAATTCTTTTCATATTTGATCTGCATATCATAGATCAATCTGAACACACTATTATTGAAAATGAGATGCGTAGATCAAGAGACTTCTCATGTATAGGTCGATAAATCAGAATTGTCTCTGCTCACCGCTAAGTACTAGAACGTTTTCATTCGATTCTGATCGTTTGTATTCGAAAAACGGCTATTCGCGTTTTGCATTAAATATATAGACAAATGGACTGGTGTCCAAAAGATTACCTGAACCGTCTCCAGTGCTTCCACCTCCACTTCCTGAGCATGGACCAGCTAGACAACCAGCACCGCAATAATCTATTCCCTTTCCACAGTAGCCCCATTTCGACCGACATTCTTTTGGATCAACACAGGGAAGACCACCTCCACCTCCACCTCCACCTCCTGAGCATGGACCAGCTAGACAGCCAGCACCGCAATAATCTATTCCCGTTCCACAGTAGCCCCATTTCGACATACAGTCGGTTGGTTTAGAACAGGCAGCACGAGCAAGTCTTCGACGAATCAAAGTTTTCAGCAGAAATTCATTATCGTTATCGTAGCCTTGAACATTGAGAAATATACTAACAAAAACGAGCGAATAGGTTAGTATGGAGCAAAACATGTTTATATTTGCTGTTGCGAAGATATCTTCTTTATTATCTAAAACAACAGAAAGTAAATCAAGATGACAAGTCGAATAATTAGATACAGAGAGATTATATAAGCAATGGATCGGTAAGAGTAGCTTACATAGTATAAGTCTCAATCTATATGGGTAAATGAAAATGTGAACGAGAGAGAGACTGAAGATAAAAATCATAAGTGAAGAGAAACTGGCAGAGACCACCAGTTTTTATACTACTATTTCTTGTAGTTATTATCGATGAGTAAATATTGCCATAGGATGTCCCCCATATAACAATTAAGAATTAGTAAATAGGGACACTGAGAGATAACAATGAGTCACTCTCCCTCACTCATAGACAAAAACGGTTTTTTTCCCATTGCTCAAGTAACTTACATCGATGTGTCATGATCGCGTGGGATGTACTATGTACAGAAATAGGAAAAAAGAACAGATAGAGAGATAGATGAATCACGCATAAACAGTGCATCGCTTTTACCTTGCTGTTGTTTGTTGCATTTATCTTGATTTCATTCGATTGTATTTGCACAGTTCTGCGTGTGATTTCAAGTCGGTTTACTAGATTCTAACTGATACTGTGGTCGATCTTTGTAGAATGTTATTCTCATATTCCGTACGTTCAATATGTACTTTATGCTTATACAATGTTCCTGTTGACTTCAAAAAATTCGCTATTCAAGTTTCGATAACATTGTCTTAAAAAAATTCAATCAAAGTTTTTAATCAAATGTTTCTGATACAAACTCCTAGAAAATTCTGATGTAGTCTAATATTCTATATATATAAATGAGAATAAAATAAAGAGAACTATTTTTCGTGTAATGAGTTATATGTAAAACCTTGGTTGAATATGTTGGTAGAATACAATTCACCACATCTCTTATGACAAACACATCTATACCGTTTTCTTGTGAGGAAGGTATTTGATTTGTTTATTATATTTTGGATTCTCTTCCTGATAAATTTATTATAAAATAATTAATTTTACAATGTTACGTTTAGTTGTTGAAAACAATTTCTGCTAACAAAATTATAATATGTGCACATGCAATTTGAAATGATACATTAAATAGAAATAACGATAATTGGTCTATTGATTCTTTTTCTTAGTTCATGTTTCATAGTGATACAGAAAAAGAGGAGGGTAATAGTAATGACTAGATGGCTTTTATTTTCTGTATCACTATCCAACATGAACTAAGAAAAAGAATCAATAGACCAGTTATCATTATTTTTATTTTATTGATTTATCATTTCAAATTGTATGTGCACTTATTGTAATTTTGTCTGAAGAATTTGTTTTCAACCAGCGACGGATTTAGGAGTTTGATGATGTGAAACGATTCAACGGAAACTATGGGTGAGCATGATCATAAAACGTAGTATTAGCTTATTTTTAAACCTTTTCTGCTGGAAAAAACTGAAATTATTTGTTTTTGACTAGAAGCGATCGTCCCCAGCGGTCCCTAAATTCGCCACTGTTTTCAACAACGAAACGTTACAGTGTAAAATTAATTATGTTATAATAAATATATCAGGAAGAGAATTCGAAAGATGATAAACTAACACTTATAAATGATTATGCACAAGATGAAATCAATGAAACTATTAAAATACTCGATAGACCAAGCAAATTAAAAAATTTAATTGTAAATTATTGGATATTGATCAATGTGAATTAGTATTGAAACAATCTGATAATGATAGTGATTTACTATTAATTGGTTATTGTGTTGGAAAATGTGAACAACGACAAGCTGCATCATCGAATGAAATTTATTCGATCAGTATTGAAGAAAGAAAAACAATTATTAATAAATTAATTCGTAGTGCTAAATATCGTTTTCGTGTTTGTGCAGAAAATAAATGTTGTCGATCAGAACCATGTGAAACTATTGAACCAATAGTTTTTCAGAGTTCGTTTGGTAACATATTATTTTAGAAAAATTAAAAGTTTGTTTTTTTGAGATTTATCAATTATAAACAAAAAGAAAAAAGATAAACCACGTTGTCGAATGATAGTCATCTAAGCAGACAAAAGCTTTTGAAAACACGATTAAACACCTTAATTGCACTTCTGCTTTCAATTTAAACAGTGGATCAAGGCGGTTAAAAAAAGGCAACTTTTGCATCTGGAAAGCATTCAAAAGATTTTCTTTGTTCATTTCATATATTTATTTTCTTATCTTTTTTAATAGTTCAATAGTACATAAGCATCTGGTTACATTAACACATTCAGCCAGATTCAGTTTTATTACAGCATAGCTGTAGCAGATTCATTTTTGTGTGTACTCGTTGTCCTTTTCATTCTGTGCTGGCTCGTTGTTTTTTCTTTTCTGATTTGTATATCACATAGACAGTTATATCTATACATTATATACTGGTTTTTACCAACATGACGTATTGGGTTTTTCCCAGTATGTTATTACCTGTTCTATATTGGACTTTTCCTAATAATATACTCGTTTATGTCATACTTGTAGTTCAAAAAACCTCTTTTCTTTTTTAAAGAAAAACTTCTCAAAAGCTGAAATAAGACTTTGATTTTCGGTTTCGGATGTGTTATTGTCGACTAGTTTCGAGTGTTTTAAAAGGGTATGAATGTGTTTGTATTTATCTTCTCTTCCTACCTACACCCACACCTACACCATTAAAACTTCAACTAAATTAAGTGGATAACTAACAAGAGCAGTAAACATGGTTTTTGATTAAAAATGACAAATTTCACATTGTTTAAAAAAATTTGAATCATTATCATAAATAATGAACGTACAAACGATGCAAAACGAACCGATTTTGAAAAACAATTGGAAGACAACAGATGACAGCTTCAGTAAGACGACAAATAATACTTATAGTATTGTAGTTGTTATGAAAACCATGCAGATCCACAGTTGGATTTTTTCTCCTTTTAGATCTATCCGTGATTTCTTATAAGAATATTATGCACCAACAAAAGATTACAGATTAGATAAGAAGACTAGTCCGAAACAGAAAATCTTATTGTAGTTCTATACAAACAACTGTGAAGTAGATCCACTTGAACTCTACGACTACAACAAAGAGTTAATCCGAATACTTTTCAGGATATTCACAACTCATTAGAACCTGCATGATGCACATACTTCCGACTCAAAAGCAATTTGACACTTAGAAAGATTCTCTTGTGAGTTGGATGCTAACGTCGACGATTATACTGACGATGTGAAAAACTAAATCAAATAATCGAAACAAATGGGTAATTCTCTTTAATTTTTATTTTTTGTTTGATTAGATTTATATTTTAATAAATAACTGAAAAAAAAAAAGATACACTGTATAATAATAATAAAAAATTAAACTATTGAATGTGAATAAATAAGTTGTGTAGATTCAACAAACGGTTGTTTTTGTATAATAAGATCATCATTTTGTGAATTAGATTTCATATATAAATGATTTTTATTACAATTATTTAGCATACAATAAAATGCAGATACAATTTGATCTTTTTCATATGAAATCATACCTTGATCAATAAGTTTAACACATAATGTTGATAATGATACGGAATTTGATGTATTTGTATATTGACGATTATATTCATCATATAATTGAATTTGAAGCTTTTTTGCATCGATTTTAGCAAAATTTTTATCATATTCAATTTTATCATATTGTATCGGACGACTAAAATCATATTGAGGTTGTTCAGACAATGGATTATCATAATCCATTGGATCAAAATTATAATTATTTTCATTATTTATTGAATAATTTTCATTCGTATTGAATAAATTTTGTAGATTATAATCAGGAAAATAATTTAAACAAGATAAATCTGTTAATGGACGTAATTTTCTTGAAAGTTTTAATTGATAATGATTTTTTTCATGTAAATAATATTTACGAGTTTGACGAAGTGTTGTTGATAAAATTTTTCTTTTTCGTTTTTTTAATGATTTTCTATTCCATGAATTAAAATTCATTAAATGATTTAATGATTGATTTCGTTTTTCATTTAATAAATTCAATTTAAAATGACGTGTTGAATAAATACGAGTACGACTTATTGATGTTGGTTGTTCAGCTGTTGAAACAGATTTAATTATATCAGGTAATAAATTTGTATATTTCCATAAATACGGTCCAGCAAATAATTTCAATTTAAGAGAATCAAAATAACTATATTCTGATAAATCAGTCTTTGAAATAAAAGAAAAAATAAATTTCATTGAAAATACTATATCAATAAAGACTTTCTTGGATTTCATATTATTTAAATGAGACATTCATGTTTTAGACAAAAGAATCTATAGTTCTAACTAAAATTATAGAAGCAACTTGCTTGAGTAATATTGTTTGCTTGCTCTTAACTACTTTAGACTCTTAAGAAAAGAAAAATCGATGTGACTACATACATTCGAGTATGCTTTATTCTTATTGATTAAATTGAAATAGCTGAAATGCATCACCTAAGTTTAATATTTTGATTGCAAGATTTAAAATATAGCCGAAGCTGATTTTTGGACAACAAATTCAAATATAAAGCACTTTTCTGACAAAAAAAAGACATTTGCTAGTTCTGAACATCATTTAATTATGGAGAAACATACAGTGTCAAAACCTACAACGATAACATATAAGGATTTTAAACCTTTTTATGTTTTTTTCGTGCTAACAGATAGCATAGGTCTTGATACCGTATATTTCTCTGTAATGAAATAATGCACAGAACTAGCAAAGATCTTATTCTGTCGAAAAAAATGTCATCTAGTCGAATTTATTGTTCAATAATCAACCTCGCCTATATTCTAAATTTTGGAGCCAAAATATTGAACTTAGATGACATTTTCAAGTTATTTCGAATTGATCAATAATATCTTATTTTAAAGTCAAATTTGTTTTATGAAAATGTTCAGATGAAGCATATCTATCTGTCTTTATGGATTTCAAGAAAAACTAACATCTCTCTGAAGTATGAATAACGAAAACAGGATACCAGACAAAAATCCACGAATTTAAGTAAACATTTATTGTATCTAACTTAGCAATAGCATCAAGAAAATCTGATTCCGTATTTGAATAAAGCATACTCGAATGCATGTATTCACATCAAAAGTCTAGAGTGATCGAGAACAAGACAACCATATCACTCACACAAATGGTCTTATAATTTTGGCCAGAACTAAGAACTAGTGTCCTGTACGGATACGGTTTTTTTTCGATCGGAGCTAATCGATATTCTAGATGTACTTTCACAGTCATAGTACGGTTTTCAAACTTTTATTTGATATCAACAAAAGTATATTATTTAGTTTCTTCCATAAATAACAACAAAAAAGCAAGTGATTTAGGATTCACTTGACATCTTCAACCGGATCAATTTCGCTAAGTATACGTTTGGTTGTTGCTGATGACGCTAAAATGGAACGCAGTATTGGTGTTAAACATCATTATTGTGGATACATACATGAGTACTTTTTCCACGACAATACTATATGTTCACTTTTTTTGATGATTCATTTTTCTCTTCATGTATTCAGTTACTTCATCATATGATTCATAATGATGTGCACATAAATTTTCATTAAAACATGAATTTTTTCAGTAAAACAATATTGCTTGTCATTTCTGTGACCTGTTCTCGAGTATAATAAATTGTTCGAACCATGCTTCGCTCCTATGCTTTTATACAAATTGCCAGTTTGAAAAAGTAGAAATATTTGGGTCATGTTGTTGGAAATAAGAATCTACTAATTTGAACGTGAACTTCGATTTTTGATATCAAACTTCTTGTTTTTATCTGTTACTCGATCATATTTTATATGTAAAAACTGAACTCAAATCAAATTCAAAAATTCTTTGATTCGATTTATATCTGGTTAGAGAGGGAAAAAAATTCAATCTATAATTGAAAAGTTACCTTGTCACGAAGTAGTTGAGGTATTTGATCAACAAATGACACTTTACTATTCGCTAATGTCATATCCATAGATATCATTGTTGTTGGAAAAGTCTAAAATAAATTTTAAAATAAAATAGAAAATTCGTTTCGATTAGATTAATTTACATGAGCTGATTGAAATTCTTGAAAATAGAAAGTCGAAGGATCATCGCGTACTTCACTTAAATCATTACCACATATTTCATCTAATATTTCATGATTATCTAATGAATTCATTAATACACTATCAATAATTGAACATTCATCAATTGTTTCAATATAAGATTCTGTTGGATCTTCATTAAATGAAAATTCTCGTAATGTTTGACATCCTAATAAAAAATTTTAATTAATTATTTTAATTAAAAATATATTATTTATTTTTTACCAAGAATATGATCTTTTCCTTCATTATCTTTAATAACTTCTCGTAATGAAGTTAAATCATACATTGTTTTCGAAGTTATATCAAGTATTTTTTCTTTATCATCATATTCTTTATTAATTTGACTATTTAAATTAACGAAACCATTTATAAGAGGAAAATCACTTGATGAATACATTGTATATGAAATCATATCTGCATATAATGAATCAATTCCGACACCACCTGGCCATTGACACATATTTGATGGTTGAAATGGATGAAATTCAAATTCATATGGAATTGAAATTGTTGATAAATCTGTAACAAGATAAGAGCTTGCTTTTGGTTTAATACGTTGTGTTAATTTTTTTGTTATTTCTATCTGATCAGTATTTGTAATATTTAATTCTTCTTCATCATTTTGTTGAATACTTCCATTAAGTTTTTGTGTTTCCGTATGAAGAGCATCAACACGATATCCATAAATTTTTGCACTAAAGAAAATTTTACAAAAAGAAAATTTTAGAAATGAAAAATTTTTTTCTTTACCTTGTATCAATAACTGATCCAGCTTTAGCAAAATTAGGTTCATGATAATCATGAGAAGAATCTGTTTTATCATCAAATGCAATAATGTCTAATATTTCTG